AACTGGTACATACTAAAGTATGTGGACCACTTAGCGTTCAGACCATAAGAGGTGATGAGTACTTCATTATATGAATGTTTACTCTGGATTGGTACAGATGAACCAAGTGCGCTATAAGTCTAAAGCTTCTGGAAATTTCCAAGAGGTTTAAGTCTGAGGCAGAAAAGCATGTAGGTGTTCAAATCAAAAACACTTTGGTCTGACTAAAGTGTTGGCTACCTGTCTGGTAAGTTCAGGTCTTACCTGATTTAAGAGGGGATAGTTTTTGTAACTGTCAACTCTAAGAACGCATTAGTTGAATGAAGTTGCAGTATGCAAAAATCAAACATTTCTAGACTTGGTGAAGATCATGTTCAGTTATTCATCTTTGTCAATGTTGTTCAAGGGAGATGCCTAAGAGAAGGAAATGTACCTTCTTAACTTGATTCCGTCAAAGTTTGTTGTAAAGACACCTAAAGAATTATGGCAAGGGTGCAAGCCCAGATCAAACCATATTCGGATTTAGGGTGCTACGGCACACGTCCTACAACAGCAGTCAAATGAGATGGAATCTTGTATGAAAGAGTGCATATCTTTTGGCTACCCTAAGAGAACTAGGGATGATTTCTTATTTAGTCTTAAGGACAAGATAATCTAAGTGAGCACTCACATGATTTTCTTAAAGGAGGACTAGATAAGAAATTATAAGCTCTTAAGTTAGGTTATTCTTGATGAGATTTATCTCAGATCAAGAATTTCCAGAATCTCTAGAAGCTTCATCCACTGTTCCCTTAATTGTTCAAGAGGGGATAGATATATCTCTAAGTGAACAAATAAGAGAACCATGATTGGAAATTCAACATGATAATATATAAGTGAAACTAGTAGAAATATTAGTATCACATGTAAAGGAACAATATCAAGGATAAGCGAATCCTCAAGAAATTGAAGATCCATCATTTGACCCACTCTTTGTTTTACCTATAAATAGACAAGGTCTAGTGCAGTACATTCGTAGTGGGAGAGAACCTTGTTAACTCTCAAGTTGTCTCTTGTTGAGTGATATTGATCCTACTAGTTACGATAATGCACTAGAAGATGTTGATGATAAGTGTTGCTCAAGCTATGAACAATGAGATGAAATACTTGTATTTCAACTCCGTTCGGTCCTAGTAAAGACACCAAGAGGGGTAAAACCCACAAGGTGCATGTGGACATAAAAGGCAAAGAGAGGATGGACAGAAAGGTGAAAACCTCCAAAGCTAGCTTGGAGGCAATTTTTGCCAGACGTCATGCTTGAGTCTATCCAGATTCTCTTAGTTGCTATAAGTCTCAATTATGAGATTTCATTTTGGGAGTTGGATGTCAGGATATCTACATACAACAACAAAAGGGTTTATAGCAAATGAGTAGGAACACACGGTATGCAAGTTGTGAAAGTCTATTTCATAGACTTAAGCAAGCATCCAGGTCTTGAAACATCAGTTTTGATCAGGTTATCAAAATTTTGATTTTGAGAGAACCTTGATGAATGATGTGTATTTGTATGTAAATGATACAACGGAAGACAGTAGCTTTTCTGGTACTTTATGTAGATAATATGCTCCTTATTAGAAACAATGTGGAGGTAATATCAAGCATAAAGAGTTGGCTAAGTTAGTGTTTTGGTATGGAAGTACTAGGGAAGCCAATTATATTCTTGGTATAAAACTCTTATGAGGCCGGAAGAATAAGTTGTTGGCATCACCTCAGGCTACTTACATTGACAAAACCCAAAATTCAACATGAGAATTCTAAGAGAAGAATTATAATTCTCAGATGTGGAATTCATCTTCCTAAGGAGTGACCAAATACTTCTAAGAAGGAAGAATGCATGAGCAAGATATCTTATGCTTTGGCAAAGGTAGACTCACGCATATCATGTTGGGCGTTAAACCAGACATCTGTCACGTAGTGGGAGTATTGAGATAGTACCATTTTGAACCTAGAGGAATACTAGATTATTGTTAAGCATGTACTCAAGTATCTTTGGAGAACGAGAGATTATATGCTGGTATATTCTAGTGGGAGTCTTGAAAAGCTGAGTTTTCAAAAATTCAGTTATTTCAAGTGGATATTGACTCAAGAAAATCAACCTCGAGCTATGAGTTTTTCACTAAACTCAGATGGCATTAGAGGTGGATCTTGCAGACCCAGTTACTAAGAGTTTGCCTGAACTTGTGTTCGAGAAGCATGTTACTTCTTTGGGTCTTAGGAGGATCCCAGACTTGCATTAAGCAAGTGGGAGTTATTGGTTTCATTGTGCTCTTGGAGTAAGACGATGAAACAATAAAATAATTTTCTAAATTTCATAAATAAGGTTTTATTTATTTATTTTGCGCACTGTTTACAAACATAAAGGTCCGGATCAAATTGTGGAGTATATGATCATATGGATACGTTCATAGAGGACATGATCATAGGTTCTCACAATTGATGAATGGATTCACAGATGTTAAATAAAGTTGGGCACTTTATTTAGGCTGCAATATTTTATGAAATGGTTTTGTCTGAATCATTGTAAAATATTGGTGTGAGTTAACATTCACATTGAAAGGATCAAGGAGAGATTTGATTAAGGTTGTTTTTCTGTCATAAGGTATCAAATCTCTAGTTAACTATAGTTATGTAATTGCTCTTAATCCTGAGTTTATTATAAATAGGTAATCAAATAGTTTTCATTCTTTGATTTACCAACGGGTGAGGTTCGATCTATTGACGGCCAATAACTTGGTATTTTGGGAGTGAGATTATTTGATTATCGGTATTTACGAGGTAAACAACATGGAATTTGTAGGATATGTCCCCTTGATATGTTTCGGTACTTGGATATTAAAGACACTGGACAGTGCATGTAATCCATTAGAGAAACTATCATAGTCAATGGAATAAATAATTGATTGAGTTACAGAAAACTTGTCAATCAATTATAGACATTCTACAAAGGGGCGATGCATATTCATGTTATAAGTGTTGTTAATCTTGGAGTTCAAGTTCGGGCTTTTAGTGGAGTAGCACCAAATTAGAAAATCATTCGTTGATTATCAAGAGCCTTGATTAATAACAAATGGTAGGTCCTCAGGCTAGCTCGAGACAAGGGATGGGGTATATTATCAGATGATGATAGCTTATGGGCTACATGGTCTTGGGTTTACGAACTCAAGTTTGTATCTTAAAGAGCAAGTGGGAGATTGTTGGATATATGCTCTTTTGGTCACTAAAGTCCTATTGGGCTTCAGTGAAACTTGAGCCCATGAGGCTTAGGGTTGAGTTATGTCTAAGACCTAAGCGTATATATTCATAGTTTTCTCCTCTTGTGCCTCCAAGGTGAACAGATCATCAGAAACAAACCCCAAGAGGCAGACGTTCATCATCTGAACGGTTGTCCACATAACCATCTCATCCTCCTCGAGAGATAGTCTGGAAGATCTGCCACAGTCCAGCTTCAAGGAGGTTGTTCGTGCTGCGGCGCTGAGGTGAGCTGTTCGTGAGGAGGAATCCTACAAAGGAAAGATTCTACACGAGACCTGCGCACCGAGAGGTAATTATGAAACAAGGATGATTCGGTAAGCATACCAATGTACTAGGTCCTAAACCGCTTCCGCATAAATCTAAGATTTCCTACCGGGATTTACTTATGATCCTACACTATCAAAATAGTTAAAGGAGAAATACAACTCTTATTCGAAGTCTAAATTAATACAACTCTTATTCGAAGTCTAAATTAACACTTTTCAGTTTTCACTACTTTCTAATTAATACATTGACTTTCGCAAACGAAAAGAAGATTAGAAAAACAAGACTTGTGTAAATTAAGAAATAATTAGAATAAAGAACTAATATATATATATATATATATATATATTTTAGTGTAACTTACACTGATGTAAAATGATCCTGACCCATATATATATATATATATATATATATATATATATATATATATATATTTTGATCATCTACACATTTGAGCATGTTGAGTGGGAGTAATCTTGTCCTTCTCTCCACTGAAATCAGACTCAGAATCATGCAAGCTGAGCAATTCTTCTTTTTTATCTTCCACCATCTTCAATATTTCTTCAAACACTGATACTTGGCATGGAATTTTGAGCACACCCACTTGCTGGAAACCAAATTCCTCTTCGGCTTCTCGCAGCAACATCTCAAATGCTTGGTGTCTCAAATAATCTGTTGGAATAATGAATCTCTTGAGCTCTTTCCCAACACAAACAGCGAGAAACCCTTTTGGAACGATGTCATTTGAAGAAACATCTGTGAACGACAGTGTTCGTTTTAAAAACAGGATTCCTTTACTGGTGGTGGTGACGACGGTGGTAGTGGCCGTAGTAGTAGCAGAGGCAGAGTTGCTCTTGGAAGCATTTGCAACCTTCTTCCACTTCTTGAGGATTTGTTGAAGCCTAACAATGTCTCTAATCTTGTTAGACTTCTTTGAATCCATCAAGGAAACCACTGTTTGCTTGTTATTTTTTCTCCACTAGTACTGTGAATCTCATCGGGGCAAGCATTTATAGATAACCTCAACATCGGATATGCGTATACCTTGCTCTGTGCTAAAATTTAATTTACTCTATATTTTATTTCTACGTTAGCTACCAATTAAAGTATTACGTGTATTGTTCTGATATTTTAAATTTACAAAGTATAAATCAAAAGAAAAATATTCATACTTGCAAAAGATATACATAATTAATTCAGTATAATGTAAAAATTATAATAACAAAATAAGATTATAAAGAAATAGAAACATGATTATTTTGAAAGATATATTATTATTACCTGAATATATTATTGCTGCTTTCGTTCATTGGATGCTCTGAAGATCGTGGAAGATGGTGCTCTGTGATTTCCATGTGAATTGCCCATTTGTTTATTGAGCAAGCACAAATATAAAAACCTGAGCCAACAGGTTGACATGATCTTATTAATAAAGAAAATCAAATATACCAAAGTAAATAAATAAAATGAAAGTCCCATTTGTATAAAATCATTTGGTTGAGTCAAGTTGACTCACTCCTAAATGATTACTCATCATATACGTACTATATTATTATTATTATTATTTATACATTTACATTTAAAAGTGTTTCGGGATGCCTTCCCGAATAACGCTTGATTTGGAGACCGATTACATGGTATTCAAAAACTTTAAAAGAGGCAGATCCAATGTTAGGAAGAGACAACTTGCTCATTGAGCATTCTTAATTAGCTCACAATTGACCATGAGCGTTCACTTGATCCCCTGATTTTTTCCATCGGACTAGTGGTCAGAGGTAATGTGCTCCTCTCGCAAAGTCATTTCTTCATTGCTCCGTGGATAAAAATATTAACTTTCATTGCTAGATACTTCTTGTTCAACATTAATTATAGAATAAAAGATACATCGTATGATCGATAGAGACGCCTTCAAGATTTTCTTATATAAATATATTTTTTAATTTTATTACTTGATTTATTTACTCTCTTTTTTTAAATATTCCATTATTTTGAACATTAAAATGTTAATATCTTTTAAATCAATTTCTTAATGTTTGTTTTCCCCTTTTTTTTAAAAAAAATAATATTGAGAAGTCAACTTTTTTCAAATTGACATTTTAACATTTTTGTTTTTTAGGCATGATAAGAAATCGATATTTTCTAAACCGTTTTTCACTTTGGTTTTTTGTTTAAATTTAAATTAAAACAGTAATTTTTATTTTGTGTGACACACACTAAATTTCTTAAAACTACCTTGTAATGAGTGCCTTTTTATAATGATGGAAGATGACTAAATTAATAACATTTAACAAGGTTTGTTGTTGTATGCTACTTTCCGCAACTTTGGGTGTGAGTTGGGTATCATTAATGGGTCTTACGTCGGCCTTTAATTAAAAGAAAATCAAATTGTTAAGTAACTTTGACTGATCAGCATCTAGATAAAGAAAAACTGTTAGCAGCACTGGCGGAGTGAGAAACACTTGTACTGGCATAGTCAATGTGTCTTGTAGGTCTTGCGGTAATGACATAATAATGTCTTAATCCATGTCAATTTCACTGAAAATCTAATTTCACTGCCTTCAATTCGTTGTGAATCACTCACTGATCCTCCAAAATGAGTGCTAAAACTTTTAAATTGCAAATTCATGTATTTATAGGATGGAAAAAGTTATACATACAATCTATTTTTTTTTACAACCTCTTACAACCAATATCTTAACCGTTGATTTCCGTCAATCAACGATTATCATTTATTGTGAATTAATAATTAATTAATAAATTTTATTTGCAAAAATCTTAACCGTTGATTGACGAAAATCAACAGTTAAGATATTGATTGTAAGAGGTTATAAAGAAAAATAGGTTGTAAGTTTAACCTCTCCCTTATAAGATTTAGCAATTGCTACGAAACAAATAGTTTTTTAAATATTTTGTGAAAATTTTTACAGAAAAAAATAATAGATATAAATAAAAAATAGAATATATTGTATTGGAAACTTAAAAAATTTAGTATGTAATGTACCCAAAAAAAAAGAAAATTAGTATGTTTCATTTTTCAAATATCCAACATAACATACCTATAAAGATACGCAAATCGACTCTGTTGATTCGTTCACAACTAATTAAGAATGGAGCATTAAACATATATTTAATGCAATTGTGCACACATAGCAAGGAATAATCAAGAATATTGTGTAGCAAAAACAATTATGAAGGCTAATTATTTGGTCAAACCTGGGAACAAGGTGCATAAATAGTAAGCTTAGGTTGTTTAATGCTTCTTCAGATCTAAGCCTAATACGATTAATAATGGCATTATTTATTTATTGGAAAAAAGATTGCTATTTTAAGAGTTGCAATTGATTGTTTCTAATTCTGACAAAGTAGTTGAGGTCATAGTTGTACAATCCGGCTCCGTCGAGTTGATCTGAAATTTGGTAAATTGGTTATTAGACTGGTTTGGATTAAGTTTTAGACCGATCATGTATCGATCCGGTCAAAGTCAGTCAAAATCCGGATAAATTCGATCAAAATTGGTGACTCGGTGATCTAGTAACCCGGTCGGGTCATGCATTTAAAAAAAAATTAAAAAGTCAAAATTATTTCATCTTGTCAAAAAAAATGTATAACTCATTTTAAAAAAAAAAATTTGTAATTTTATTTGCTAGTATATTCTTGTCTCTTTGGTCTCCAATACTCCACCTCAAGTTATTGGATCTTACATACATATAAGTTATCCCCCAACTTGTGAAGTAAAGAAAGGAACTTTTCCCCCAATGCTTTAGTGAATACATATATAGTTGCTTACTCGTTAATAGACTTGCCTTCAAGTACTGATATAGCCTAAAATCGTTTTCAACCGATCGAATATCTCTCATTCAGACCATCCCACAGGCATCAAAATATTGGATTGATGGTATTGTGTATCGGTGTATCCATCCTTTGATATATCATAGACCTTTATGGGGATCGAGTTATCGTCTTCTGGTTTTGCAATTGAACCTTTCACAAATTAATCCAAGTTTACTTCTCGCTCTCAATTATGCGTGTCTCATGGCTTAATTTACCCCAATTATCGTATAGTTGGCTTCTCCTCTTAGCAGGATAATATTGGTTAAACGATTATCCTATGTTATATAGAACGGCGAGCGCGGATCACTTGTCATAAATTGCACAGAGACAGTACTGTTTAATATCATATATAACAGATTGATTTGGTGCAAACTTGGCTAAGTTTATTGATATAATAGAGAACCGTTTTATACAAACGCAAGAGTGCATCAGATTACATGCATGAAAATAAGATTACCGCGGAACAAGATAAAAACTAACTAAATATCTATATTTAACAATTAACATAGAATCATATCCTATAACATATGTAACGAATTCATCTCTTTGTTATGCAATTAATAATGATCATCGAAATAGTTTGATATTTTATTTTATTTTTTAAAGACAAAAAGTTTGGCTGAAAAGATGTTATACCGTAATCCAATATCATTCCACCGATCGACGAAGTCCACTTTCAGTTCATATGAAGTAGGCATCACACTACAAGCGAGAGCTTCCTTTCTGTTGCAGTTTTGGAATTATGCATCTTAGAAATTTTTATAATAATTGTGGGCTTCAATTGTAATTTTTCTTGTTTTAATAAAAACAGACTAAGTCATGATCTATTTGAGGGTGCAGTATAAAGTTCAGTTAATTAGTAAACTGCTTATTAGTGTGGGTAATAGTATAGGCCTAACTCATAGGCCCATTATGGGAATGGAAAGGGGATTAGGGTTAATAAGTTGGTTAGGTCTCCTCTGCATTCACAACGTGTTAGAAAACTATTACTCCACAACTTGCCCATCGACGGTTGTGATCAGGGAGTTGTGTGAATTGCAGAGGAAGATCCTGATCTTTCCATTACAGGAGTGTCAGAGGAAACAAGAAGTTAATCGTGTCTTCAGTACGTAAACCTAAATCTTTTAGTGTTCTAATTTCATATAATCCATTTTACGAAATTTCTTACATTTGCTATCAGAGCCACGATTATATGATTTAGGACCCAATTATTTATTGTTAGACATGATTATGACTTTTGGATTAATTTTTTTGTACGAAATTCTTTAATCAATTGAATTAAAAAAAAAAAAAAAAAAAAGGGAAACCCGATGACCATAGTCCCTGGGTGAATGATAAAAGAATCCAACCAATAAATAAAAAGGACAAAACTTGAAGGAGAAACATACCATGAAAAACCGACGAACATAGTCATAACATTTGATAATATCATTGTTGCAACTTTGTTGATTGGCTTTAGAAATTAGAATTGTTCCTATAAATTATGTGGCTCAACATTTATGAGGTTTGGAGCATGATTTTTTGCAATTATGCAATTGATTATTTGATTCCATGATTAAATGATAATAATAAAAAAATGCTATAAAGAGTTTTTCGTTTCTTTTTTCCTGTGTCTTGGTTATATTTTTTTTTCTTCTTTTGAGCCTCTGGTGAGTTGGCTATGGCTTTTTCCAAAAAAAAATTGTACATTAATGCTTAGAATTTTGGATTTTGTATTATCCATTAATTTTATCTTCACCGCTTGTGTGTAACAATAATTTATTATTGCTCCACGTTTTATTATTTTGGACATTGACAGTGAGATTACTAATAAAATGGAATGAAATCTTTACTATTGAGTTTAAAAAGCTTGCAAGTATGATTTTATATTTTCCGTGGGACTCTATGCAGCGATTATAGGTTGAAGGTTGAAAGAGATAAAATAATGGAATTACATGATAGAACATGTTCTGACAATAAAAAAAAATGGCATACAATTGAATTCGTTATTATATATATATATGATCATTTTGCTCCCAGTTTTATTTGCATGATCCTGGGAATAAATTTGATTTAATATATATATATATATATATATATATATATATATATGATAATTTGTTTATAGGATAC